TAAAAAGGTCGCTCGCAAATGAGCCTAGACCACGGGATTGCATGACGGCTTTTTCGCCGCGACGGCGGCAAGTTGCTGCCCGAGCTCTCGGTGTACATCCTAAGCGTTAAGGGTTAAAATGGCTGTTGGCGTGACGGGTTTTCGACTTGTTCATTTAGCCAGCCTTCATATTAAAGGTGATGTTCCACATTTGTATGGCGTTTTAAACTGAAATAGCCATCTTGACGACCTTTTGATACAGTTCACGGTCATGTCATTTTCAAGACCCAAAACGATTTTGGTTCCTGAGTTACAGGACCAAAAAGTGTCAAAATCCTTATAGTTCCCCTATTTCAAAATCGCCTTTTGATTAATGACGCCATAGAAACGTCATTATTTACCCGCTATATGATTGGTTGTTGTTTGTTTATGTTTCGTTTATGATAAAAACCGTACGGTGACTGATTCATTCGCAAAGGCGATGATGCTGCACATGTGTTACAATATGCGAAAGATGATTAGCTGTTATTAAGATTGTACTGCTGAATGCGTATCGCGACTATAAGCGTGAGCAATTTCGAGTAGTGCGGCATTTGTCGACGGGGCATTTTACCCCACTCCCAGGCAGTGTCCTGTTTACATCGGTGGGGGTGCGGAACATGGGGTGATGTGTGTGCGGTGATCGCAGGACCAAAGAAAATGATTTGACTGTGTTCGCGTAAGTACCTCGCTCCCAATCTGTTAAAAACACTTCACGCCGAATATGTCTGGCGTATTACTGACATCTCAGCAATAAGTTCAGGGTATGCACGTCTCAATATGGCATGCAAGCATCGAGTATGGTGTGCGGTCACTTTACATTGTTGTCACAGTTTAAGGAATGAGTATGCAATCACGGGCGTGTTCGGTCAAGGGAAAATTATTCAACGAATAATAATCTCTTCGATAATCATCCATGGATATTTTCCATCTACACCCGACCGGTCCGGAAATTATCCCCCAGATTAGTCTCCCATACGCCATGCACAGCCAACGGTCATAGCTATGCATGGCGAAAACAGATTCCCCGTCTTGACCATGCCCTGAAAATTATCCGGCATTCTCCGTCGCTGCGGAAAATTATCGGACAGTTTTCCGTGACGGCATTGCCGAACGGCATTCCGAAAAATTTCCCATATTCCGGATAAGCAAATGCCTTCAAACCTGCCGGCAAAAATGCCTTCGAAAATAAAACAGTCTTTAAAAAGCAGATGCACGCGGCAGCTGAAAAGCGGGTGCAAGTGCTAGGAGCTGGGCTTATGGTTGCCACCAATTTCAGAAATGGTGTTGTTTATGTACTTTACTGCTACAAAAATATGCAAAATATTAATTTGAGAGTAAGTGACTAGGGCTAAGTGTGGCATGTTGGTGGAGGACATTGCATGGCACATTGGCAAGTAGCTTTTTATAACATTTTTGAGTAAGTTCAAATACTTTTACTTGTTTCCATCACTAGGTTATGAGCACCACATGACTAATGTAGTTGGGGCGCCCTAAAGCCCAAATCATCATCATCGTCATCGTTCTTGTTTTCATCTTCTACCTATCTCACTACCATCGTGGAGCTACACCTTGGCTATTTGATGTAGCTACTTCATAAACAGATGACTTGCATAAGCTTGCATAAACTTGCATGAACAGTGTGAATTTTGTCAGTCAGGCCAGGGTCAGGGATATCACTCAATAATTATTCCATTGTTCCAGATTACAAGAATCATCAGTGTGCTCAACTTATCACTGAACTCTATGTGCTGTAATAAGATTTGCACTTGGCTGAGCTCCGAGCTGCTCCGAGATTTGGTGACAGCTATGTACCATGCTCACAGCTTGCAAAGTTCATGGGTGCATGGCCTCAGCTTGTATTACTCATTTTTGGGATGACGAACATTTCAAAATGTGTCAGACATTTTTGGCAACCCAGACGTACTCCTGATGAATCGCCACTTAGCACAATGATTAACGCACACGCTGTGGGCAGATATTTTCAACTTGCACTACTCATTTGAAGTAGAAGATGTCCATTGTATTGTATAGTAATCCAATTTCCCATTTATTGTGATCCTTCAAGATTCACAGCTCAACAAAGCCACCAACAGAAATGGCTTCATGCATGTGGTGTTGTCAAGCTCGGGCACTAAGTGTGCCAGGCACATTTTCCATCAGATGCCTTTTCCAGCCTGGCAGCCAAAAGGAATAGGTTTAGGGCTAATGCTGTGCCCTCTCTGCAGGTTTGTGAATGCCTAGGTTTTCTTCAGTTCTTTTTGTCAGACACTTGATGTTTAGCCTTGGCATTCAGGCTTGAACTTACTCACCATTAGAACACACGTGGCGTTTTTTTATCACCTTTTGTCTCATTCATCTCCATGTCCGCTTTCAGTCATTATTCATTTATGCATTTCAGTGTGCTGCAGTCATTTCTTACGTCAACATTTATATGATGTAAGTAAAACATTGCTTTGTGTTGTACTTGGCGCACATGTCACAGTGCTGCCCTATAACCTGTACATTGTGTGACAGCTTTGTTCATTGTTTATCTTCCTGATACTGATCGTTGATGTCCTGAATTGTTTTCACCACAGGGAAGGTGTTCCAGGCACCCCAGTGCTTCCTGTGTCGACACCATCTTGAAGACCAGCATCTGGGTCAGAGTGACTTCTTTTTGGGTTAGATTTTGAAAGTTAGTTTACTTTTTGAACAAGAAGATTAAACTTTGTTTTACAAAAATGATACTACAAACTGCAATAAGTGATGGCACAAAGATGATTAAATTTGCGGTAACGATTGATAACATTGTCTTATACTGACCATATCATGCCAAACACAAGGAACCTGACGCGACGCGCTAGTGCCACCCGTCGTCCAGTTTGCCATGTCGTGTCTGTGCGAGGAGGCGCCGATGACCGTATCGCTGAAGAAGTACAACCTCTACCGCACGCCCGAGGGCACCCTGTACGACACCAGCGTCAAGGACAGGTGCGTCTGTCAGCGACGAGAGCGGTGCGAGCGGCGCCTCTTCCACTGCCTATGATACAATGGGGTCGCCGGTGGGCTCCTCAGGCGTTGGCACCCGATGATGTTGACATTGCATCTCTTCATAATGGTCCCTTTGACCTCGCATATCACGACACATCCGAGCGTGCCCCGGTTGGGCGAATGGACCACAGCGTGCGCACGTGAAGTTGCCCTGATGTCAGACCCCGAACTCCCATCCCCTGTATCCGGGCGTCCGTCGCACGAGCGCAGCTGGTGCGCCTCAGTCGGACGGTGTCGCGCGCTTCAGTCTGACGCTGGCGCGCGCCTCAGTCTGACAGCGGCGGTGCGCCTCATTCTGACACTGGCGTCTCCGCTCTAGCGCCAAGGAGGTGCAGTCAGCCAACATCAAACGAGACAGCAAGCTGTACTCGTACAAGGAGCAGATGGAGGAGCGTGCTCTGCGGCTGGAGCTGGAGGCCACGCGGCGCCGGGAGGGACGCGCCGTGCCCGAACAGCTGGCCGCCAAGCAGGAGGCCGTGGCCCAGTAGCTGGAGAGAGAGAGAGAGAGAGAGAGAGAGAGAGAGAGAGAGAGAGAGAGAGGAGAGAGAGAGAGAGAGCGAGAGATAGAGAGAGAAGAGAGAGAGCGGAGAGAAGAGAGAGAAAAGGAGAGAGAGAGGAGAGATTATAGACAATAGAGAGAGAGAGAGAGAAGAAGAGAGAGAAGAGAGAGAGGAGGAGAGATAGAGATAGAGAGAAGAGAGAGAGAGAGAGGAGAGAGAGAGAGAGAGAGAGAGAGAAAGAGAGAGAGAGGAGGAGAGAGAGGAGAGAGAGAGAGAGAGAGAGAGAGAAGAGAGAGAGAGCTAGAGAGAGAGAAGATAGAGATAGAGAGAGAGAGAGAGAGAGA